TTTTTACTGCAGACTAAGTATTGTTTTTACTGCAGACTAAGTATTGTCTTTACTACGGACTAAGTATTGTTTTAACTACAAAGTATTGTTTTAACTACAGACTAAGTATTGTCTTTACTACAGACTAAGTATTGTTTTAACTACAGACTAAGTATTGCTTTTACTTCCGACTAAGTATCTTTTTTACTACAGACTAAGTATATTTTTACTACAGAGCTTGTAAATAGAAGAAGTTCATGTTTCAATAAATACATTATTTTATTAAAAAAAAGGAAGGAAATAGGTTTACCGGAAGTAGGTTACGTCAAGTCCTGACGTCATCAGACCGCGTCCCTAGCAGATGATATTCTGGCAGCATGAAACGGTGGTTTCGGACCGGAGCGACCTTGTTGGTTGGAGCGGGAATCGGAGCTTCAGCGATCCGCCTGCTGAGCCTCAGCGGCCGTGTTGAGGAGGAGGAGAAACACGGTCCTCATCCGGGTCATCCAGGTCTTTTGAGCAGAGTCCCGGTGGTCCCGGTACCGAGAGTCCAGGCCTCCGAGCTGACGGTGTGTGTGTTTGTGTGTGTATTATATTATATAATATTATATGTTATAACACATGTGGAACATATCAGATGAGGTTTCTATTCAAAAGAAGCTAAAATGAAGAAGTGAAGTAAAGTTTGTTTCTGTGATTGTTAGTTTAAAAAAGAGAAACAATGACATCATTCAAAAAACTTTATATTATATTTATTTTTGAAGTTTCCTCAGATTTTAAATGGAACACAAGTGAGAAGTGATGTTCACAGTAAACAATATGAATAATAATGCTATAACTTCAGACAGTGATGTACATGTTCACTCACACACAGTATTTACACACATGTAGTCATGTGTTTAGGGTTGGGGTTTACTGTGTTTACCTTGTACACATGCGTGTACAAGGAAGTGATGTCATGTGTATCGTCTTCTATTGTTGATGGTAATCATTTTATGTAAAAACTGAATATATGATCATCTGCTTTGATGAAACTTTATTCAGTGTGAACAAATGAACACTGAAGCTTTCTATCTCGACTTGTTAGGGTTAGGGTTAACCCTACCCTACCCTACCCTAACACACCTGTTGTGTGTTGACCAGGTGAGTCCAGGTGGGTCAGGAGCCGTGATGAAGTACGGCTTTCCCTCATTGGCCAACATCAAAACCAGAGAGTCCTACGTCACCTCGTATGACCCCCGCACACGCACTGCATCCTGGGTAATAGAGAGGCTAAACCCCGCCTCCCTGAGCGGCACATCAGACAGGAAGTACTGCAACTTCAAAGAGGACGACAGGTGAGACAGCAATAAACAGGAAGACGGGTGAAAGTAATGTGTTGCGTTTTCTCTCTTCAGCAAATACCCAGGTGGGCTTTTCTATCAAGTATGACACGAGAGCCTCGGCCGGTCTGCTGTAGGTCTCTCGTCTTTAGTAGACCATCTAGTCTCACCAGGATACTGCCGCCTCCCGCCGGTTAGGGGTCCGATTAACGTAGGTTCACTTCGCCGAGTCGAGGAGACGATTGAACTACTCTGAGGCAGGTCGTACCTGTGGGTGAACTTCCCCACTCTGAACAGCCTTGTTGTTTTATCTGATATCATTTTAATGTCTATCACCAGTCTCAGGTTTATAGGAAGAATACACACTCACCTTCACGTCACAGGAAGAAGCCCCGTCTTAGAGCTGTGCTCGGGGGGGGGGGGGGGGGGGGGGGGGGCCTCCGCGGGGAAAGGGGGGTGGGTGGTTTTTTTTTTTTTTTTTTTTTTTTTTTTTTTTTTTTTTTTTT